GAATCGCACCCTTGTCCACACCCATAGGGTACTTTCCAATTGCAATATCTCTAGACACTTTCATGCACACGGCGACACAAGTTGCGTTCCAATTATCCGTTATCGTCGACACATCTGTACTCAGTCGAAGACTGTGTAAGCTAGTGTTTTCTAGTGACAATTATATGTTACTAATTGCGGCAGCTATAAATGAGGTTGGAAGACGGTGAGTGGCACTTTTACTTTTTTTTTTAGTTTAATACAGGTAGAAAAAACTATATTTAATCTAACTCTATCCGAAACGGATCTCAATCGTGCACAGCGTACACATTCTGTTCCAATTGAATCGTACACAATGTTACATTTTGTACGTTCCTGTGTACGTTTATGCACCGACGAGATATTATTAAAGATTGTCAACCTTGAACAAATTTTCGGTGGTATAAAGAGGGCCCCAAGGAGGGCCCGAAAGTTATTGAAGAACGCTGACATTATCGATAATTCATATAAATTTGTTATTATTAACATAAATATTTGGTTCATACATTATTAATTTATGATTTTTTATTACATAAATGTTCTATAAATAAATATGTATACTTATAAAGCTATAATATTCTATATGTTGCAGAAAAATTACAATTTTTTCTTTGCTGTTATCATCTCTGTTGATAATCAAACTTTGATGATAGCACTGAAATCACAATTTTCAAGAAAAATCAAATTATTGAGTTCTAAATGCATAAATACGTCCATTAAACTAAATCATAAAATTAATACAATATTTTCAGTTTTTAATTCTTAATTACTTCAATATTACAAGGACGCCAACTTCCGTAAGGATGTCGATCTTTAACAGTATCTCGTCGATGGTTTGCGTTAAAATATATTAAGCAATTAGAAAGCATCCATATTATACATTTACCGACCGAGTCGAGCGACTGTATTATCGAGCAACGGTAACACAGGTATGCGCCTGCGCAGATGGAAGATGCGCACGAGTTTCAGAAACATATTGGCGGCGCATGCACGCATACATGGTCATGGGTCGTAGGCATGATGGATGGGCACCCCCACAGATATCGTAGAACTGCGAACGAGGAAGGGATTCTCCGCTAACCAGTGAACCATTTTTCTGTCGTCAAACGGATCAAGCTTTTTGTGAGACTTGGATCGATCACAAAAAGCGGGATTCGCTTTTCGCATAGGAATTGGCCTGACGAGGAGCCGGCACATCATTTTTTCCACGAAGCTACGTCTCCCCGAAAATCGTAAGTGCGAAGGACGCGTGTTTGTCCCTCCGGTGACTTTGGGCCCGCCGAGATCGAACTGCCGCGGTGTAGCGGACGATAACGTATATATGTATATGTACGCATACATACGCGTGGCAACCGGTCGGCGTCGGCGGCGGCTGTTTTTCTGAGAATCTTGTCGCTGTCAACGTTGCCGAGAGCCGCGAGACAACGCCGCGTTTACGTTCTATGTGTATACCACGCGCGACGACATCCCGTCCCCGGCGTGTTCCACGCGTATTTCCGTTACGGTCAATCGATGAGTTTTATAACAATCATGGCGGCCATGCCGGTCTTCCTCGCGATCTCGAAATATCGTTGACCGCGTCGACAAGACACGGTTCCGACACGTTTTATACGCGCACACCGCATGCCGATTCTTTCATTTGCCGGGATAACCGATCGCGGATTAATGACGATGTATTAATTGCCGTATATGGCAACCGGAAATCCAGAGTAATCATCGCGATTTCGATATTTATAGCGAGATAGAAGAGGACAAAATCGTAAAGGGCGCACGAGGACACTAATTGACTCCTACATGCATCGTCGTTGTTCGCTAAGATGAATACAGATGTAAGGACACGAGATATGTTTTGTTTTAAAACTCCTAAATATTATTTTTGTGTTGTCTGTTTCTATCAATAACTCTTCATCTCTTTCTTTCTAATTCTAAGAATTAGAAAAAGATATAAAGTCAGTTAAATCAAGATTCAAATCAATCCACATTGGTAGAAACAGACATTATGTGTGCCTTCCAACAAGCAACACAAATGTCACGGTGTGACACAATGGATCACTACATCCTTGTTGTTTGTCAATGTTAAACAAAGATGACATGATCACTGTGTCGCACTGTGTCGCACTGTGTCGCTTGTTGGAAAGCATACTTGCTAGATAAATAGAGTGATGAGTGGGGGAATGTTGTTAAACTCTATTTTTTACATCGTGACTTGAGCCTTGTGTATCATCAGTTATTCTGACTTTGGAGAAAGGTTACGGCTTCATAACATGTGATTTTCAGAACACAACAATGGAGGAAATGCATCAACCACCGCAGGTCGGGCCTACTAACATGATGCCTGGTGTGGGTGGCGTTCCTAATCATTCTAATAATGTCAATCGTCGTAATAGAGTTCGTGTAACATTACATGCCATGATGTTAGAAAAACTTCCATTACACGAGGCGGCACGTTTGGAAATGAAATCGTTACCCAGCAAAACACCTGTCTCTGTTCTTCAGGAATTACTTTCCCGTAGAGGCACAATACCTAAGTATGAACTCGTCCAAATCGAGGGAGCTATTCATGAGCCTACGTTTCGATACAGAGTCACTGTTACCGATGTCGTTGGTTTGTATAAATTCATTGTGCATGTATTGTCATGCATAACAATGTATTGTTGATTGATAAGTACATAACTATTCAGAAACAGACCCAATTGTTTCAGCAATGGGGACCGGCAGGTCCAAGAAAGAAGCTAAACATGCTGCTGCAAAAGCTGTGTTGGATAAATTAATTGGAGTGAATACCGATGGTGTAGAATCGCCAATTCCAAATAGTTTACCCGAGTAAGCATGAATTGCGCTTAACATCATACTTATCTTTCCTGCAATCTGGATCTTTTTTTGGGATTGGCGAAATTTCACTCTCCTCTGAAATAAAGGAGAGCAGAAACTAGTTCTCTTATTGCTAAGTTGTATATTTTTAAATATTTTTTTCTCATTATTATTTGAATTTCGAGTTTTGTTTTAAGTAAAGATTTTCAGTAAAGATTTTAAAATTTGAGTTGAAACACACACACCCACTTAGATGGAGAAAATAAAAATATGATTACAGGAGAATTAAAATTGTAAGCAAGAGTATATGTAGGATAAAATAATTTTATGTATATTTTTATGTAGCTCACAAAATTTACAAGAACTGCAGACATATGGAGAGGAGAAAATAGTAAACAATCCAATTGGAGCCTTACAAGAAATGTGTATGTCGCGCCACTGGCCACCTCCAAAATATTCGATGGAGGGTGAAGAGGGCTTACCTCATGAGCGACAATTTACTATTGTTTGTTCAATCTTAAAATATCGCGAAGTCGGTCAAGGCAAAAGTAAAAAAGTCGCTAAAAGACATGCCGCTCATAAGATGTGGCAAGCTTTACACGAAATGAATAACCAAGCTCCCAGCGTAGATGAGGATGAGGTAAGAATGCTCTCGTTTTGTTAATTATTGTATCAAATAATGAAAATTATCTATTCTTATATATTACTGCAAGAATAGATAATTTAATCTATTGTTAGACCCTATTCATCATTATTTTAACATTTGAATATTTCAACCTTTCTTGCACCTTCTCTACCTTGACTTCATTGAATAAAGTTATTCTAAAAATATCTTTCATTGCCCTTTAAAATTCAGAAAAATTTTTAATAAAAAGAGAAAAAAAACAACTAAAACATAATTACAAGGATAAAACTTCTACAATGGTTGCCAGACATGATCACAAGAGTTAAGAAGTGTGATATCATTGATTTATTTTAAATTGAATGTGTATGTATGCGTATGTGCATATGTGCGTATGTGTGCATACGATGAGTGTGTGTATTTAGAGAAGTGGAAGTGATTTTGGCTTTAATGCCATTTTATAGGTCTGTTCTTTGTAGCTGAATATACTCTTACTTAAAATGAAATAGATACATATTTGAAATTTAATAAAAATGAAATACACTGAAACCTCGTAATAGCGTGCGGTTTGGGAGTGTGAACGCTATATCGAGGTTGTCCCTACTTTATTTCAAAATAATGAAGTGGTTATTGCTATTCCACTCAAGCTATTCTTATCGCAGAAGGGATTTTTCGCGCTACTTTGTGGTTTGCTATTACGAAGTTTCCGTGTTGAAAGTTTTAATGCATACCAGTCCAGTGACAAAGAACAAGCCTTATGTAATAAAAGCTATCTTTCCGATCTGTTTAAATCTATAACGGACCGTTGTTTGGACAATATCGCATTTCAATGTGACTTTTGTATAGCGTTGTGTATTTTATCTTTTGACAATAATTACGCTTGGATCATATCCACTTCATGTAAGTTTTTATATAAATGTGAAGTAGCTGTTAAAGCTTTTATAACGTAGGTGCTTACAAGAAATTTTACATGTATATTAATTGTCCATTATATAGATTGTGCAAAGAAACGCAAATGTGAACGCCCGTTATGCCGATCTGAAAGGTAGCAAAATTTCAACACTGACAACAATACATAGTATCCAAGTTTCGAAATTTCACAAGAGTCTCAAGTCATCCACAGGTGTTAAGCTTTTCCAACTACAGGTTTGTATTCAAATGCCGATGAAGAATAGAAGAATATATATTATAATTGTTCTCTTGTTTATTATCAAACTAGAAAGAAATCATTCGTTTGTTCCTACGATATCGACTTAGACTGTAATCGATTGCGTGTAAGTTATTCTAATTTTATTGCAGAACACTTGTTTCAACGATGGGGATGTAAATTTGGTACAATTTTTACAAGAAATTGCGTCAGAGCAGCAGTTTGAAGTAACCTATGTTGATATTGAAGAGAAATCTATCAGTGGTAAGTTTATTAATGATATATATGAAAACGACTTTATTTATATATAAATTACTTTATAAATATACTTTTTAGATTTATGAGATTTTAGAAATAATTGCATAGAAAAAATAAAAGTACATATTTTTTTATTGTATTATTTATTATCCAGTAAGTACAATATCAACAGGCACATCATTCTCATTAACAGGAACATCTTCTTGTATTTGTTCTTTAAATCCTACCGCAATCAAATATGGCTTTATGTTTTTTTGAAAACATCTTTTTAAATATTTATCATAATAACCCATTCCATGTCCCAAACGTTTTCCTAAATTAAGAAAGACAATACAATTTCATGCAGAATTATAAAATGATGTAATATTTATTGAGTAAAACTCACCATTCACCGTAAAAGCAACACCTGGTAAAATTACTAAATCTAATCCACCTATAATAAAGAATTAATATTATTAAATAAATAATGTCATTAAAATTAGTAACCAATGAATTTGCAAAATAATTTATCGTAAAATGTATTAGTTTTGTATTATTTGGTTTATCATAGAATTCACCTGTCTTTAATGCATTTTCTTGATTTTCAGTAATGCTTGGTTGTTTAATATTCCATTTTGTTAGTGGCAATGTTTCATAATCCTCCATCGATTTTAGTTTTACCATTTCCATAGTTTTTCCATGATATTGCGGTACAAATGCTTCTTTTTCCATATCAAATATATGTTTTAAGATAGGCAAAGTGTCAATTTCATCTTTAGTACTCAAATACAAAGAAATTCTTTTGCTATTTTGATATTGTTTTAACTGGCATAGCTGCAAATAATAATATTGTAAATATATTATGCAAAAATCATTGCACATGCTTAGAACATAACCTTTTCAATGAGCCAAGAGCTTCTGATTCTTGGAGATTATTGATGTATTTACTTTTCTCAGACTTACCTTTTTAAACACATTTACAGATTGCTTCTTTCTTTCTTCTGGGCTTATATTTTTAAGAATATTCTTAATTTCTTGTCTCAAAGCTCTTTTAGTTGATGTTAAAGCTGCCATATTGTATATTATTTGTTCTCTTACTGATCACTCCTGCTATTACTGCTATTACTTGATTATTTCTGCTATTACTTGTAACTAGTACTTTTTTTTTTAAAGCATATCTATGTTTAACTTTACTAAGCATAATAAATTACAAAGAAAAGTAAAATTGAAAAAATATAATAAAATAAAAACTCAGTTTAAATACAAATAAATTATTTATTTGTAATTTATTATTTTTGTGTGTCAATTTTAAGAAATGTGTTTGAATTTTACTTTGCCCTTTATTTATTGTTATTTATTTTGTATAGAAAGAGTCCTTCAATCTGTTAAATGTTTACTAAACATAATTTTATCTGAGTTTAGCAATGCTTGCATGATATCTATGACTTTTTTTATTATTATCTCTTAGTGTCATATGTTATCATGAATTATGATGCAAATGTTGATCAAAATTGCTCAATTTTAATTGTGCATGTTGAAAAATAAAAATTATGCAACACAGAAATAATCTAAACATTATGATATTTTATCTTCTAGGTAAATTCCAGTGCCTTGTGCAACTGTCTACCCTACCAGTGGCAGTTTGCTATGGTTGCGGCGCGACTAGTAAAGATGCTCAAGCCAGTGCTGCTCAAAATGCTCTGGAATATCTGAAAATCATGACCAAGAAGTGAGCCAGCGCTTTGCTCCTGCCAGTCACTATCACCTGCAAGCCTCATAATCTGGCATCTAATAATCAGAACAATAATACAAACATCAAAGTATTATCAGCCAAAAATCAGATTTTCGACAAAGGAAAAAGCGGTCAGAATTATATGGGAAATAAGAATAGAACATCTAAGTTATCTGTTAAGATAACGAACACCGTGGGCAACAAAGATGCTGCTTTGCACAACATTGCGTCTGGTAAAATTAACTCGTCGATGAAAAAGCATAATGGTAATAATGATACTCCGAAGTCTTCGAGCGAATCGCACAACACGACGAAATCGATTGCCGCAAAACAATCCAGCAGTTCCACATACAGTAGCGTACGGCCTGTCAGTACCTGTATAAGCAACACTGTGCACGAAAATGCGATAAAAAATCCAAGAGATTATACTGCCTCAAAGAAATTTCCAAATGAAACTGATTCAAACATCAAGAATTATCCTATTCAATCAGATTATAAGGAATCGATGTCTGTGAACAGTCCGGATTACAAGAACACCAGCATTGCTGGATCAATGACGGCCAATCTGCCATTAAGATTCGCTATGCAACAATCGTCGACAGCGACGCCGGTTATACACAGAGAGACCTACACACCGTCCAGCACATATAGTTCGCAGTCTGGGTCTTGTCAGAGGAACGACAACAGCGCGTTTGCGATTGCACGTAAAGCATTGGAACAACAGCAGAGCTCGATGCCGAAAATGGCACCGATCAACTTTCCGCCACTACGCGCTCCGCAGAGCATCGTTAACGTGCGACATCCGTTATTAACGGATGCACGTGTCAAGCACGGTAACGAGACGATCGGCGGCGGCATCAGTGGTGGTGGCGTCGCTGGCGGTGGTGGCAAGTCCAAGCTTAATATCATTGGTTCGTTACAAGGCGGCGGTATAAAAGATCTAAGCGATCACACAGTTCGTTCGCAGACTACGTTCCACGGATATGGCACCTCGCCAATTGCTCCCGGTATACCAAGCGTGCAGAATCTAAGCAGTGCGGTGACGGCTAACATCCCACCGTACCCGAGACCGGAACCCTTTCCGCAACCAACAGTTGCAAACGTGCTGTTCTCCGATACCGCTGCACAGTTTCCGCAGTCACCGCCGTTTAACACTACGCAGATCGGTCAGCTGAATCAGTATCAGACTTACGATCCGGGAAGTTACCCCACCACGCCAGTCAACGTCAATCCGGTGATCCCGCAGTTCTCCGCGGAGAGTTCCATCCCGTATCCGCAGTATGAGAATCCGCCGCAATTCGTGCAACCGAGTCATTATCCAACCGCTGACATAACCAGCAGTCAGTACCAGTATCAGGCGGCGGCAGCAGCAGCAGCGAGTGTAGGTCAAATACAGGACTCATCCATATTTATTCAGAGTCTTCAGAGTACAATTGCAGTGACCGATCAGTACGCTACACCGAATTACGCCAGGACTGTCAGGACGGAGCTGATAACACGGTTGAGAAGACCACCGCGATTCAACAAGTAACACCGTCAGATCTTTATTTTAGATTTTTTTTTTTTTTTTTTAGATACTATACCGCGAAACTTGGGAACAAATGTGGTCGCACTTCCTTACATTATTATGATTCGTGGATGCTGGATAGAATTTGTAAGATAGTTTGTAAGATACTCGTCTCTATTTATTCATTCTTTAACGTAGAAATTACTCGTTGACCCCGAGAGAGACGAGTTGATGCGAGTCACCGATTATTTATCGTTGTGTCGAGCGTTTCGCAGATATTTCGCGTGTACGCGAAGTTTGTCAGATTACCTTACTCGCACTTACTTGTAAAGGATATGGTAAAACTTATTTCAATTTATGATCCAGTTTGAAATAAATTTTAGCCAATCTGAGTTAGAGACGCGATCGTCCGAGCGGGCAGACGATACTTTGGCAAATTTACGCAAACACGGTATGCGGCCAACGTTCTCGCCCCACGTTGGCACGCATACGTAACACATTTTAAAAGATGCATTTTACTGTAAGAGTGGAAAAGCAGGATGATTTTGGCTTGTTTCCGTCATACGAACGACACGGCAGGGCATAGTGAGTTGAGCTCAACTGTAATTTTACAATGTAATGTATTCTATAGCGTGAATCTGCAAGGATGGAATGATATACAAGGGTACACGCTATTTATGAAGTACCTAAATCACGACCGCTGTACGCAATGGGGACGGTGGCGTCACGTGTTGATTAAATTAGCTTTTCCGAGTCACGCGCACGAATCCCGGAAAAGATACAAGTATTCGAGCGTGGAGAACGGAACGGCGTTTCAACAGAAAGAGGGATAAAAAGAAAGAGAATAGAGAGAGGAATATTGCCCCGCGAGATACAGGCGAGATAGAATTCTTCTCTCTCTTCTCGATTATCATATAAGTTCTAGTTTTAATGAATGATATTCTACAAGCTATACTTTGCATAGAATTAGTGGAAGTTTTCCAATACTTACATAATACTTAGCTTATCGCTACGTTTTTAATGTGCTTCACTATTTGTATATGAGGTGGTGGTGTAATGATGTCTGAGATGAGTGCGCGTAAGAGAGAGATTACATGAATTTAGGAACGAGAGAGAGATGAGGAAATCGTGAACGAGGCAGAGTCGTGTAGCGATTTTTATTATCACATGTAGAGCGACGCATATCGTTCAAATTTTGCTCCCATTTACCGCGAAACATTACATCTCCACTAAGCGTATGCACAGTGCAAAAAGATTTAAAAAAAAAAAACAAAAAAAAACCCAAAAAAAAGTAGCTTTGCGCGGCGATCCGAGTAGCTAATAACGCGTGATCGCGGATATAAGAAAATATAATCTTTCAGTGGTGTATGTTTTTTCCTTTAGTATAGGTAGCTCATAAACTCATAAGCATCACATATTAATACGCGTGTAAGGATTAATCGTTAAGGATTCTTCATTAAAGTACGCATGTCGAGTCTAAGGTACAGGTCGAATGTGTATCGAATTTCGGATTTTGCCTACGTACCAATTGACGTGTCACCGGATGAGACTTTTTATACTAAATGAAAAAGAGTAACATCGCGAATATACAATAGAACACACGCGAAGCGCGTCAGGCGGCGGGACGGCTCGATCGAGAAAGCCGTAGGGAACTTCCGATCCAGTCGTCGGGTGTTGCATTTCACGGATCGTGACATATCCCTTTGGTCCGTCGAATAAATTTAGAAACGCGAGGATCCCTGCGAGTTTGATTTCGTCGCGTTTCTAGATTCGTTTAGACTTGAACTTCGAAATTTATTTAAAATTCAATTCAGCCCTAATTCTGATTCATCGTATTTCCTTATGTATAATATGTATGATGTCCCGGATAGCGGAAGAT